AGGTATTTTTAAGTAGATTAATGTCGGACACGCGACGGCGCATTAAGCAGATCGGTATTAATGAGTTTTGTCACCCTTGAGTGACACTCGGTCGCCGTTCGGTTACACTCGGTCGCTATAGATAGCCCACCCGTGCGCGCGCGCTTCTCTCTCTTTCTTTTTTTTGCGTACATTTCCCCCACGGAAATATATCGCGCCTACGAAAATCTTCGGTTGTATACATATATGTGGAAACTGACGAGATTATCCGACGCGAGTTTGCATTTGCGGGTCCGTCTGGCTAAAAGAGCAGAGCGAGGCTTGTTGGCGGAGCGCAGAATCCGGGTAATCGGACAGAGCACCGTCTCGTTGACATCGGATGTAGCGGCGAATCAAACGAGATCTTTTGGATAGAGTCGGATAATTTATGTACTTATTTAAGAATTTACGAATTTTCTTCTAACACTCTGCAGAAGAGAATTTGCAATGCAATTGTAGTAATTTAGAAAAATTGTAGTAAAATTTAAAACGCAATGAAAAGAACAATTCGCGGTTTCGCTTTTAAAATTCAGAGATTTTAGAGATCTTTAGTGCTCGTTGAATTAATTTCTTGATAGTTTCAAAGAGTTTCTCTCTTTTCGTCTCAATCAATACTCTAGTATAATAATTGAATCCCACATATTATATTGGGTAATTTGTAGCTTGATTATTTTTGTAAATCTAAAGATATTTTTTTCGATTTTTTGGCTTCCGAAAAACTTTATCCCTGCTTTAATTGTTTGCGCGCTTCAAATTCTCTATTAAAAGTTTGCGCGACGTCCTCTGAATGCGAAAGGGTTAAAAATCGCTTTGTCGCGTCCGCTTTGCCCGTCCTTTTCGTGTCGGGTAGTAAAACGTATGAGAGTGTATAAGCCTTGACTATGGAGGCAACAATAACCTGCCATCAAAGAGCCGATACAGCCGAATCTCTATTCACAAAGACACTTTATGCGAAAAATAAAAATTTCCATTTTTTTTTTCTTGTGTTTAACGCAGATAATGTGTCGATAGGCTTTTATTTTGGAGAATGGATTACAAAGAGCTTTTAAATGACCGAAACATAAAGGCATTTGAGGATTCAACGAGAGTACTCGATTAATGGTTCGGGTGGATGCTTGATATCCGGTATGCGGGTACAAAAGAGATAATAAATCCAATATTTTCGATTATATCCGATCGTGTTTGTGGTTCAGCTTTTTTAGATATATATAAACTCGTACTCGCACTTGCATATATTATTATATTGAATATTCATTCTCTCAATTTATTCATATTTTTCACGGTGAAAGGAAAATCTTTGAAGATTCTGATCTCTCTATCCCTCTCAAATCTATGCAATCAATTTAGTGTACAGATAATAAAATATTTACAATAAAATGCTCTGATAATAAATATAATTAAGAGCCTCGCGCGGTAAACAATGCGCAAATTTCTTGATAATTAATTTTTTATTATTGAAATAAATGTTTTGTAAATGTCTTTGACAGATACATACACGTGTAATTCTATACTCCAAGCTGAAGATGGTCCGAATTATAAGACCGAAACGTTTATTTCAATAATAAAAAATTAATTATCAAGAAATTTGCGCATTGTTTACCGCGCGAGGCTCTTAATTATATTTATTATCAGAGCATTTTATTGTAAATATTTTATTATCTGTACACTAAATTGATTGCATAGATTTGAGAGGGATAGAGAGATCAGAATCTTCAAAGATTTTCCTTTCACCGTGAAAAATATGAATAAATTGAGAGAATGAATATTCAATATAATAATATATGCAAGTGCGAGTACGAGTTTATATATATCTAAAAAAGCTGAACCACAAACACGATCGGATATAATCGAAAATATTGGATTTATTATCTCTTTTGTACCCGCATACCGGATATCAAGCATCCACCCGAACCATTAATCGAGTACTCTCGTTGAATCCTCAAATGCCTTTATGTTTCGGTCATTTAAAAGCTCTTTGTAATCCATTCTCCAAAATAAAAGCCTATCGACACATTATCTGCGTTAAACACAAGAAAAAAAAAATGGAAATTTTTATTTTTCGCATAAAGTGTCTTTGTGAATAGAGATTCGGCTGTATCGGCTCTTTGATGGCAGGTTATTGTTGCCTCCATAGTCAAGGCTTATACACTCTCATACGTTTTACTACCCGACACGAAAAGGACGGGCAAAGCGGACGCGACAAAGCGATTTTTAACCCTTTCGCATTCAGAGGACGTCGCGCAAACTTTTAATAGAGAATTTGAAGCGCGCAAACAATTAAAGCAGGGATAAAGTTTTTCGGAAGCCAAAAAATCGAAAAAAATATCTTTAGATTTACAAAAATAATCAAGCTACAAATTACCCAATATAATATGTGGGATTCAATTATTATACTAGAGTATTGATTGAGACGAAAAGAGAGAAACTCTTTGAAACTATCAAGAAATTAATTCAACGAGCACTAAAGATCTCTAAAATCTCTGAATTTTAAAAGCGAAACCGCGAATTGTTCTTTTCATTGCGTTTTAAATTTTACTACAATTTTTCTAAATTACTACAATTGCATTGCAAATTCTCTTCTGCAGAGTGTTAGAAGAAAATTCGTAAATTCTTAAATAAGTACATAAATTATCCGACTCTATCCAAAAGATCTCGTTTGATTCGCCGCTACATCCGATGTCAACGAGACGGTGCTCTGTCCGATTACCCGGATTCTGCGCTCCGCCAACAAGCCTCGCTCTGCTCTTTTAGCCAGACGGACCCGCAAATGCAAACTCGCGTCGGATAATCTCGTCAGTTTCCACATATATGTATACAACCGAAGATTTTCGTAGGCGCGATATATTTCCGTGGGGGAAATGTACGCAAAAAAAAGAAAGAGAGAGAAGCGCGCGCGCACGGGTGGGCTATCTATAGCGACCGAGTGTAACCGAACGGCGACCGAGTGTCACTCAAGGGTGACAAAACTCATTAATACCGATCTGCTTAATGCGCCGTCGCGTGTCCGACATTAATCTACTTAAAAATACCTGTACGAGGAGAGAGAGAAAGAGAGAAAGAGCGCGAATCCGCCGTTTCAGATCATCCGTGTCGCGGTTTATTTTGTTAATATGTACATGCATCGGACGATCTCACGGCACGCGCAAGATGCGATCCTGCTGTTAATATCCGCGGATTCTTCTTTTCCCTTTCTATCCGAAGAAACTTCTCGCCCAAGCTGAACAAACTCGAAAAGAAAACGAAATTGGCAAAAGTTTCGATTCCGAAATCTTCCTCCGATCTTATCTCGCACTGTTTGGCCACCGTTGAACTATTTTAGATGATTTCGACCAACGCACGATCAATCGAATGACTCACATATATATACAGACAAAGTGAGATATTATTTTTGTATCTGACCTATAGCCGCTGGCGACATATCTTTGATACCTTTGTACGCGATACACCGATTTATTATTTCCATACAGATGTTTTCCATAAGATTATTATCGCTTTAATTAAAAAATTCAGAAATTAAAATAATTTTGTCTCTCTGAATATCAGAGATCGACAAAAAAAGTGGAGTATTCGAAGTAAAAACAAAGATATTGATGCAAGCTATTTTTTTCTGCTAGAGATTATAAATAATTAATATAACTTAATTCATTTTTATATATTAATTAAAATTCGGTTTAATAGATTTCAAGAATCACGCAATAAATATTTCAGAGATATATTTCTTGTCAGAGACTTCAAGCAATTAATTGAAATAATTATTTCTCTCGTTGTATAATCAGTATATTTTTTAAGTATAATGTGTGTGTGTGTTAATGACATATAATAAAATTTTTTGTTTCCATAAATTTTAAATTTGATCTTTGATATATATGTATATGTGTAATTCACACGAAATTTGTATATAATTTATCAAATTTTAATAAAAAAATTAAAAGTTTGTAATATATAAATATCATTAAATTCTCGTTGAGAAAAAGAACAAAAACTTTGTCATGGAATCTGTTAAGAGCACATCCGGCAATTTCGGGGGAAGCATACTGTATATGCGTGTATCAGAAAAATACATTTACCCGCCTATTTTTACTCGACGCGTGCAACGAACGCGAATTTAATCTTACGGGTTTTAGAATCGCAGCGACCGCCTAACGATCGCGCGCTGATGCTGCCTTATGCGATGCAGATGTTGATGATTTTTTGCGTGACAAGACGACTCATGAGAGACGAGAATCCGCAGGGTTGCAAACCGCGAAGGGAATACGCACCGTAGATTCTTGCCTCTAACGACTTTTCCGCGCCACGTGCACTCCGGGATAATGACATTCGCGATAATCGTGACTAGAATGCACGCGAGTTTTACGATTAAGGGTGGAATCGGGTGGCCGAAAATTGGAGAACGCAAAGACAAATTCTTTTTAATTTATGATAACTTTTAATAACACAATTTGACAACAAGTAACTTTTTTTCGGAAAGAGAGTGATTTTCGTTGAAAGTGTGATACTAATTAAGAACTGTTATTAACATTTTCTTAATTATAATTAAGCTTATTATAATAAAAGCATGAAGAAGAAAAATTTAACTTACGTTATAATTTTCGAAGCAAATAACAAACTTTGAGAAAGTTAAACGCAATAAATTTATGTATCTTTTTATCGGACTTTGCCACGAAAAGGTGCAGACCAATATAATTTTTATTTCATTTTTTATTTAATACCATACTTATTGTGTAATATTCAAATCTTTGAACTATCATGAATATTCTGACATTGCGTTACTGCAACGTCATTAAAATTAACAATTAAAGAATATCATCGTGATGACTCTCGCGTTTTGATTCGTACATACAATGTCTCTTTATTATTATGTAACTCCAATTAAATGATCGCTAAGAGTGAGATATGTCATAGAGAACTAAAGCGTTAAGTATTCTCCGCCGAGAATCTAAATTTGCATAAGCAACCGTATGCGTGGAGTAATATTCACTCACCGTTAATTGGTTGAAACCTCGCCAAAGGATCCGAGAATTGCCGAAGTCTGTCCGTCACGTACTGCGACGACTCTCCATTCTGTAAATAAGAGAGAGAACAAATGTAGAGCCGTACAAGTGTATAGTTGTTACGCGATGCAAATGAAACGGACATAGTTCGTGGATTATCCGCGAGATTGGACGAACGTGTTCGGGGATATAATGGAGTCTCAAATAGGGACGAGAAAGGGGAAGGGGAGGATTTTGGGAGATGATAGAGATTCGAATTAAATCATAGCGACCAAATATATCGCGCAAATATCTTTCGTTGGGAAAGCATCGATCGAGATAGTTGAGAATATTAATTCGACAGACAGTGAATTGAGAGATATATATTTTCGCGAACATACACACAGATCGCGAGATCGATCAACGTCTTATCCCAGCTTTTTTTCCAAAATGCCAGTCGAATGAAAAAGTGGAACAGACGTCCAAATCTCCCGGCTTTGTAAATATAACGAATTAATCTCCAAAAGCCAAGTTGCAGCGGATTTTGATCGTAAACTCGAGCAAAACCGTTAACTCGGTCGAGTCCCACTCAGTTTATCCGGTGGAGGATCATCCGGAAGGTATTCCGCGAGCGGAGCGATAGGTGGGAAGCAACGATGGGAGGAATCGCTGGAATTATCGTTACCCAATTTGCTTCTCTCCGCCGCGGCCCGAACTATCTCTAAGCTCGAGAGAAATTGGGTCATATCGGCCGGGCAGGAAGCGCATCGGGGCGGATGCGCGAATCGACAATCGAACGCGCTGTACGTTTATTTGCTTTTAATTCCTTGTTGTTTGCATTAATGGTGAAGTAACATAGAAAACAATCGAGAAAAGGAACCGAAACCGGGCGACCGTTTGAACTGTTATTATGACAGTCGATGCGTTATTCTTGATTGTCGTTAGTAGCGCCAACTTTTCTTGCATTAAATTTTTTTACCTTTGATTAATCTTATCACTGTTATTAATATACATTTCTTATAAGTACATAAAAATATGAAGAACAAAGGAAAACTAGGACATTAGAATGACTATAAAAATATTGTTTTTGTAATTGCAATCATTAATAAAGACAACTTGTAAGAGCTCCCCGTCGTCATGATATTTCGGCCTCGTCCCAAAAGTGCGAAATGTAACTCAACCTCTCTAAATAATGAGGATATACACTATGACAAGCGGACCGAAGCTGTGTCTAGCCTTGTCGTCCAAGTACTTCAGTTACCAGCATACTATATGCCAGGAGAGACATATACAGGATGATTCACGACATGATACAGCACAAATTTAGGATTTGAATTCTGACGTAATTTCAAGAGCGAAAGGAGATTTATTTAAAGAACGGCTCCGATTTCGGGAATGATAAAATTACGACTTACGCTTTTTATAAAAATTACATGCGACACGAGAAAAAAGAAAACGTATAAACATTATAAGATATATGTATATTGAAAGTTGTACTCTTTCTTCGAAAAATATACTTAAGTAAATTTGCATCTATTTCAAAACTTCTTATACAACCGTATATGTGTTTTGCCATTCGATGCGAAATTATCGATGCCACATCGCGTTCAATTAATCCAGCCACGTATGAGAGCCCTTTCGAACAGCCCCCGTGATACGCATTACATCGCGCCATAGGGTTGTAATACAAAGCCACGTAATCATGACATAATTGTGGTTACGCGCGTGACTGTGAGCGGTACGCAAATTTGGCTCCAATTAGGCTGTAATAAAATCAGTGTAGCGTGAGCCATACGACATCATTGAAGAAACAACGAAAAAGGAGAAGGGAGGGCAAGGAAGAAATTTATAATTTGAAACAGAAAAAGAATCATTTTTTCGAGAGAAATTTCTGCAATGGTCCAGAGAGTCATAAATTAAACAAATAAATACAGTTAATTTTTTTATAAAACTGTATCATGCGCGTTAATAACACAATGTAAAGTAAAAAAGAAATGCAAGAATGAGAATAATTATTCCTTTTAGTTTTTTTTACATTTAATGTGACTGATTTGAGAAATAGGATACGTCAAAATTTTTAGAAATTTAAATAGAAGTTGTAAAGTGGCTAATTTAATATGTTATTTGTAGCTATATGTGATGTGCATGAAGGATTTTATTTAATTTTAACCATTAATTTTATTGTAATTTTTACAAGTTTTTCTTTTGAAAAAAATAACTAAAATTTCCAACAATAGATGCATTTAATTTTTAATTTTAAAAAAACTTTTTTCAACACGTTGTTTTTTTTATACATTTATGTGGTAAAGCTGTAACTTAATAAAGATACGTTAAAATATTCTTTTTTTAATAATTTTGAATTTTTCAAAATTGTGACGCGGGCGGTAAAGCAATTCGCCGTAAAAGAAACTACGAGGAATAACTTTACTGTTTTTTTTTTTAATTTAAGAAAAACATTGTTTCTTGAATATATAATTAATGGAACAGTTCGAACGTATATGTTTTTTACGCCAATTTTCTTAAATACAGGAATGTCTTTGGGGATGTTTCCGGTGACGGGAAAATGAATTGAGCATCGTCTCGTGTATCGTGCAATGAATATTTATATGCGCCGGGGTGCACGTGGCATAGAACAATTTTTCCTCGGTCTTATGCCAGCGAGCGTCGTAAACCTCGAAGGATACGTCGTCTTGCCTTGCGCCCGGGCGATTTAGAACTGCGTGGTTCCAAACCGAGGGAAAGAAAGAGAAAGAGAGAGAGAGAGAGAGAGAGAGAGAGAGAGAAAGAGAAAACGTTTAACCAAAACGAAATGTTCCCGGATTGTTATTCACGAATCGTAGATTCTGGCGGAGATGTGCGCGCGCGAGCGCATCTATATGGGGGATATATAAGCGTCGCTAATGTATCCGTCGACAGGCGCGATAATGCACCCCGTAGATTGCGACGACTGAATAAATTCCGAATAATCGCGCGGCCGGGAATACGCTTAAGAGATATTCTCGCGCGCGCGTGACTTTCAGATCGCTCGCTGGCGTTACAGGAAATCTCCGAAGACGTACGAGCGGAAAGAATCTTCGAGAAAACGACTTTGACGCCGCATATAAATCTCTTACATATTTCTCTCTTTCTTCTCTTGCCTCCCCCTCTTTCTTTTTCCATTTGTCAAGGCGTATAATCATGTACTTAACGCGATTTATCGATTGTGCAAGATAACGGGAATAGTTCTTGCAAATAATTGAAATCAATTTTATCTTATTGCTGGTTAATAATTTTTGTAAGTTAAAATATCTCGCTTCCTGGTTGAAAATTATAACGTAAAGATAATAAATTTATATAACAATTAATTTAACTTACAATAGAAATTTTATGATAAAAGCAGAGGTAGTTTGGAGAGAGTTTTTTTTATCAATTATCCTCCGATAATCTTTCATTTACATCAAATAATAAATAATTCTTCAAAAAAAAGTCTAGACAGGAAATCAGCCTTTGCTAATTCATCGCGTGAATATTAAAAAATAATCTAAAAGTTTTCCTTTTATATATATATATTTGGAATATCTATACAATTTCTGATAGCAAACATTTCACTAAACAAGAGAGTTTAATTAGATTAATGGCGAAACTAATAGTAAATCAGAGACAGATCTGAATTATCATTGTCTTATCGTATACACGAAGAATCGAACCTCAACAACGCTTATGTCATCTCTGTCATCATTTTATGATATAATCTCGAAAAAGCAAGAATGGATCAACGTCAAAGCTTTTCGCGATTATATTCTATATTTTGAGATAAATAATTTTCTGATTATCTTAGTTTTGATCGTAAATAAAATTATCACATAGTCAAAGAATTAAAACTTACATCTCAATCTCGCTTTCCCGACCATACCCTCTTGTCAGATATTCACGAAAACATAAAGACGCAAGTGACAACGTATATAAAAAAAAAACGTAGACATTATATTAAAGAATAAAAAAACAGGAAGGAATTGAAATTGCAAGGAAGGAGGCTAGATAAATGAATGCAACCAGGTGGCTAGAAATCAGAGCTTAACAGGAAGGCGATCGTTTCGATCGGCATTGAAAGCTCGTTTTCCCCGTCAGTGGCTACCATCGGAGCACGGTCGGCGAATGCACACCGATGCATTCCGGGGATGCGAGGGAAGTCTGCGGAATCAAGTCCGTGATTGGGAATCACTTCTCCACGAGAATCGGCCGCATTCTCCCTCTCTCTCTCTCTCTCTCTTCTTTCCCTCATTCATTCTCTTCGCATCCACAGGCGGCACAACACACCCGTTAAGCATTTTATTCGGTCCCGTATCATCTATTTGTCCCTAAGACGTGCATCTATATGTGGCGAACTATTCTCGGAGTGAAAGAGACTCTCGTACTGTCATGCCACCGCGTGTTTCATGAAAACACATCTCTGCGACACATCCAGCGCGATATATCCTCAAGATGAGCGCGTGATAACGCGCTTAGGGTATAAATAGTGTTATCGACTGCGATCCGCCGTAAGCCAAAGAGAAACGGCCAAAGAGAAGCTATCAAAATTGATATACGTACTATTTCGTTTTTGGATTCTGGCCTCTCTATAGCCGAGAGTTTAAAATAAAGATTTATACACACACAGATATTTATTGCTTTCTATCAGATTCCCCTATCGCAGTTGGTTTTGCAAACTCTTTTTTTTTATTTTTTGAAAAGCAAACGAAAAAGTTCAGGTCTGAAAAATTGCTCGATTAACCGATTGAAAATTATAGGAATATAGTTAAAATCACGGTCAAGACAAAAAAGTTTCTTTTTCGAAAACATATTGTTTTATATATGATTTGTAAAATAGAAAATTAATACATCTTTACATTATTTTAAATATCTTCCCTAAAAATTTTCTCATTTTAATGATTTGCATTTCACTTTGCCCGCGCGTATATTATACGCATACATCCGAATGTGTATCGGCTCCATCTGCTGCGAATCTTTCGGTCAATCAACGCGACGGCTACCGATTACGTCTTACGTATGTATCCCGAGGCACGAACACCCGTAGTATCCCCGAGTATTAATATCGAATGAAAATCCCTCGGCGACATTTCGCGCGTTCTCTCTCTCGTCGCGCTTAAAGGGTTACAGCGAGTCCGTCGCGGCGGAGGAGAGGTAGGGTCGACGAAAGCGCGAGACAAATTACAGAATCCGGGGGGGCTTTGTAAGACGCGGAACGCCCAGACCGCGAAACGTCATCCCGAGAGGAGCGGAAAAGGGATTCCTGAGAGAGCGAGCGAGCGCAGGAATTTCGCGGCGCGACTCTCGCCGCCATCCACGGGAGTCTGCTCTCTCTCCCCTTCTTCCATCCCAGTCCGAGAGGATTACACAATGAAAATATATATTTCCCCGTTCTCTCTGTATCTTCGCTAAATATAAGCTCCGCGCGAGACCCAACAAATCTCAATTTCGAAAAAACAACGCAATCGAAAGAGATCTCTCGGATCCCATTAGGTTTCCCTTCGCCCGTTTTTTTTTCATCTCGCCGGAGGAGAGTGTTAGTGATGGGGGGCATCGCTCGATAATGTTACTTAAAAGCACTTTAAGCGCCGGACGGATAAGCTAGCTCGCTATTTTCCCAAGGAAAGCTAAGCTCGCCGGAGTTCAATTGGATTCCGCTCTTGTCGGCGATCGCGGACCTATTTCTCTCTCCCCGGCTACGAAGGCCGGATAATTTATGTGATCCTCTGAATCTCCGGAGTCATTCAAACCCTTCTGCCCTTCGACCTGAACCGGAATGTCAACCGCGATCCAACATTAAACAGCAGGTTGTACTCGAGGCGTACGAGATTCTTGGAATTTGAGATCGTCTTTGCGAAACGCATTAAAAGAATTTTTATCGTTGAGTTATACACGTATTGGTATCCGCTTTGAAATTAGATCTATTACTTTGTTTAAGCGAGGAGAATTCCGTATTCCAGATTCAAATTTCGCATTTACAAGTTGGCTTCGTTAAATATCATTTATTAATTAAATTTAGTTGTCTGATTTATGGTAATTGCTGATAAGAGTTGCCACGTATATTTTTCTAATTTTTTATATTAAATATCTTGTGATTTAATCAAAGAAATTTTTAAGTTCAGTGAAGCCATGCATATTAAGTATCCTATTGTAATTTAAGTATCTTATAGTAATTGACAATATTGAAAAATATGATATTGTACAGAATATTGTGCTGTAATAAAATTAACAATCCTTATAAAGTTTAATCCTTACAAAAAACAATTGAGAAATTACGATTAAACTTTATGCCATATTTATTTCGCAATCATTTAAAAGAACGAAAACACATTGTACTTCTGCAACGAGATGCATTTAAGAGTTACACAGTTTACGCACATGTCCGACACGTGCATCGCACACAAACGACCAGCTCTAATGGTTTTTGACCCGCGACACCATTAGCTCAGATCATCGTTTTTTTTTTTTTAGAAGCTATAAAAGGAGTTGCGCTCGAGTTTCTCGCTTTCAAAAAGATGCGCTGTCGTTCATGATAATTACCACAACGAAAACACTATCTGGCAAGTACAATTTGCGTGTATATATGGAAATATTCGGAAAAAAGTATGAGCGTAATTTTTCAAATATATAATTGTAAAATAAAACTATACAAATATAAAATTGTCCCTAAAATAGACTTTATATATTTAAATTCCACAAAATTTTGTTTGCAAAAAGCTCTTTTTTTCAAAAGCTCTTTTTTTCCGCTTATAACTCGGAAATTATGTTGATGCACCATCATTCTTGCTAAGGAAAAATTGTCTCCAAATTGGCCCGAGAATTTACTCTTAAAAGGATTTTCGGTCATTTTAGGACACCCTATTATATATATTGTATATACATAATTTTGTAAATTAAAATGTAGCAGTTGCGGTCAACAAATATCGTAAATTAAGTTATACTCGGAATATAATTTTACATCTATCAATGATATTATAACGTTAAAGATCTATAATTTCATAACATGTAATATGATATCGTATTCTTGTGTCAAAATTCAGAATTTACGCGGATATATCCGAACGATAAAATCGCGTATGAAGGTTTCCAATTTGCTGGGTTCGTTAATTTTCGCGTCCAGCGACCGTCAGCGATACATCGCGGAGAGATGGACATCTCGGAGCCATTTCAATTTCAGACGTTAATTGGAATGTAATTGTGTTTTTTTTTCTCTTTTGTCGAACCCGTTATCTCGAACGCGTTACATTCGACCAGGCTTTATCCACTGTTATGAAAAATCTATCGACATTGTATGTATGCAACTCGCGTTTATTCAAATCGAAATTTTTATTATTTCTGTAAATATGTGTGTATATATATATATATATATATAAGACACATACATAAGTATATATACATATATATCTCGCAATGATATTTAGCAAATCGTATAAAATATTTAATATTAAAATTATCTCGTCAAACGCTAAAAAAATTTGTCGCGATAATTAAGATACGTGCCTAAACTTTCGAATCGAACATCGAATTGTTGATCCCATCGATCAATCGGCCGTTGTATTATGACAGTCATTAATCTTCATTATAAAAAAGGTGAGTTTCAATTAAGTGAATTGCTCGATTGAAAAATATAAGAATAAAAAAGAGAGATATCCAGTTTATAAATTTTATACAAAGATCGTTAATTTTATTACAACATAATATTATGTACAATGTCATATTTGCAATATCGTCAATTACTATAAGATACTTAACATTCACATGATTTTGTTTAATTCAAAAATCTCTTTTATTAAATCATAAGATATTTAATATAAAAAATTCGAAAAATATACGCGGCAACTCTTGTCAGCAATTACCATAAATCAGACAGCTAATCTTAATTAATGAGTGATATTTAACAAGATCGATTTGAATACAAAATTTGAATCTGGAATACGAAATTCTCTCCCTGCTGAGCCTAATCCCGGTGTGTATGCTAATCTTGTTAATTCGCGCTATCGCACGTCTTACGTACCATATTCTCGGCGGAAGGGTGATCCTGATGTCCGGAGGGTCGATTTCCCTGCAGCAGCGCCTCGAGACTCTCGATGTACTCGATAGCATTCCGTAATATCTCCACTTTCGGTAAACGCTGATTAGGATTGTTGCTCGTTCTCCTCTTAAGCACCTCAAAGGCCTCGTTGACCTGCGATAGAAATTGCATCATTAATCATTAATACGCCACCAATCGCCTAAATAATACACATAGCCATGCACGACACGCGTATGTTTTTCTTTTTAATTCTCTTAAATTAGTGTATTTTCTAAAAGTAATAAAAAATTATAAATATAGCAAAGTAGTGGGAGCTTCAATCAGTGATATTAAAAAAATACGTTTTATATTATATTATATATGATATATATAAATTTATATAATAATATATATATATATTTTGTTAAAGAAATATCTAAGTATAATTAAGAGTCCTGTTCATTTTTTGTGGATTTATTATCTTAGGAGTAAAAAAGTATAATTGTAATTGTATAATTATAATTGTAAATGTATAGAATTTGAATACTAGTTATATATATTTCATTCCAGATATGTATGTGTAAGGGCTTCTTTCGAAAAAGTACCAAAAGTTTTAAAAGTTACATCTTGCAAATATATATATAAAGAAAACTAGTCTTACGAGAGGATTAGATGGAATCGCTATCGAGGACTATCAAGATAGAAGAACTTTATTGATGTGGATAACAACATATGATATACCTTTCTCGAGGAACGAAACTGACTGACTAACTATAAAAACAATCTTTTCATCTCTCTAAGCATTAGTCCTTGTCCCTTTCCCCTTCTCAATACCTGTTGTAGTGAGGCATACATACCAGCCCCACTACACCGTATTGACATACCGCCAAATATGTAAACAAGGACACGTCGCGATCTCTTACAATATATTTATATACATACGTGTATACATATACATATATGATTATTACTGATGAGTGAAATAGACATATCGATTTTGTAGAAAATCTTACGTCATTGCTTAATCGCATTTTTTTTTAAATATCGAACACTCTAGATTTATATGTAATAAAGTTACTTTTCTCCACTGGTGGTATAAAGGAATAAAAATTTCTCTTAAAATTCCGTCTCGTGTAAACACCGCGAGTGTCGAATTTCAAATGATTCTGTGAGATTTAATATACCCGGGTCCATTCTCTCTCGAAACATCATTCGTCATTTGAATCGTCCAAAGCGGCGCTTAGTCGCGACCGATCCACTTCGCAGATGTTTTCCTTCCGTCAGCGCGCTCTCTTTGAGGTTGTTTACTTCGAAAACACGATTCGCGCGCGGCATGTTTTAAGTAATTACAGACGGACCAAAACAGCAACGTACGTATATTCAAATGAGAAATATGGTACGCAGACGCACATCTCTCTCTCACATATTACACAATCGATTCCATCATTTTAAAATTTACTTAATTTTTGAAAGAATCGAGATAATTAATTTACTATAAGCCTTTCAAATCACAGATTTTAACAAATATATATGTAAAGATTTCTTTTTAATTTCTACAGAAATAAAAAGAAAGAGAATGATAGATATAAATAGCATATACGCAGGATAAAAAGCGCGTATAATATTTCGCGAACGGAAAATCGTCACGGGAAACTGACCTTTCTCAAGCGCCGTCTCTCGCGCAAAGTGGCGGCTTTCCTCCGGTCGACGGTGACCGTTTTCTTCTTGCAAGCCTTACAGGCCCACAGAAGGCATCTGCGCGGTCCATGCGGCGAACCGGCGTCCAAAACGTGCGGATGCGGCACGTGCTCGATCGACTCGCTCTCGTTGGTCTCGTTGGTCTCGCTAGTCTCGTTGGTCTCGTCGGCGTCCGCGGAGCCGGACTCGAGGTCGGCCGAAGCGTCCGCCGATATCACTGACGAAGTGTCGTCCGAGTCGAGGGCGTAGCGGGACTGCGATCTGAAAGCATCGTCGATCGCTTTATGTTCATCGGATCAAAAAGAAATCAAATCTTTGAAAAAAATAGAATAATTTTTATTTCTTGCCAACTGTAGCATTCATAATTTGACATTACTGCTGTCTTTCAAAGAGACTAGTATAGCGCACATCTTTAAATTTCTCCGGCGAATTATGTAATCTAAATAAATAAAAAATAAATAGCTGCGCACACACACACACACAAATGTCTTTCTCGATAATATTATTTTATATGCTTGAAGCTTTCAATTTTTTTATCTTTATTTCGTAGGGCGATGAAGAAAATTACGTTAGGATGTTTCCTGTAGATGTGTAGACCGACGTATTTTGTGATTTGTACATCAATGTAATTTAATATTCTGCTTTGAAATGTCAATTCAAAGAACATGAGTAAATACGGTTGACTGATTTGATCTGTAATTTGTTTTTATAGACATCTGTCGCAAGACGAGAAAATTTCTTGCTCCTCTCAAAGATTTCAATCTTAAAAAAACAAAAAGAAAAAAGACCGCGTGATTTTGTATTCAAAAATAATTATTTTTATAAACAAATTAGAAAAAAGTGCAATCTTTTAATTTAAATTCGATATATAATATCATACAGTTCATATTATACTTTGTCATATTTCGTTATATTTCTGTAGTTCTCAATAAGCATGTCAGTTTTTGAAATCAATTCCACAGATTTCAACTTTCGTCCGTTTGTGAAAAAGTATATCTGCTAAAAAAAGATTTGAAATATAATATTATCAAAATTGTAACACGATCGAATAGAGAGCACATTCTGCAATAAATATCTATAAATTCTAATTTTTATTTTCAAGCTATAGAACCCAAAAATAAATTTGATACATCAGTACCTCTACATACCTTTTATCTGTAAAAATATTTATTTTTCAAGATAATGTAGCGCGATGCAAAAGAAAATACAACGTTATGCTTTTATCCGCGAATATATGTACACATGTACGAATTTATATCGCCATATAAATTCTCCATGCGTATGTCATCGTTCCACGGAAGACGAACTGTTGCACCACCGAGCGGTGTAAGAACCGCGTGACGTAAACGGACGCTGAAAGGTCCGGCATAGGCATTTAGCGAGCGAACGGATTCTTGCCTTAATCATCCTTTAGTTATCGCGACGGCGGTTAATAATGGACACAGCCGCGTAGGTCCATCACGAGACGATTTCCGCGATTGGACACGTTCCAGGTGGTCCCGCGACGAGCGTATTTTCTCGCATCGCGAGGAAGAGACGTTGCCCCTTTCTCCCCATTACCTCCCCTCGGGGGTAAAGGCGAAACGCGATGAACGAAGTGAAAATGGTTTAATACGCGGTAAAGCCGTCGTCGGGTTCACACATACATTGAAAGATACCAGACTGGCCTGCATTGCTTCTCTCGATTCGACACAAACGCATAATATTGAGAGACAAGTTTCCGAAGAAAAGAAAAAAGAAAGAGAACGATTCTTATAGGGGAAAAGAAGAAATGTTACGCAAAAATGCAAATAATGATGTATTTTTCAAATTCCTTTTATGTAATCGAAGATACTCTTACGTACTTTTATATAATATCTTAATATCTAAATTATTATTAATATCTTAATCGATTTCATTAAATTTTTAATAAGAATAATTTTTAACGCGGCAAGAGAGATAGATAAAGAAAGAAAGAAAATTTTTAAACTTTTAAAATAATTTGAACTTTTTAAAATAATATGATTTTATATATCAAAAATACTTACAAAATAAAAAATACACAAACAAAATTTATTGCGTAATTTATATACAGTATATAATCATTATTTGTTATTATACGAATGTATCGTTAGGCTAAAGTTATTACACTGATACAAGAATGATATACTGCGATTTTGTATTTAAATAGTAATACAGTTTTTGTCAAATAAATCTGATTTGTCAATGAAATCGATACTATAAAGGTATAAAGTAAGAAAAATGTATGGAAATTTCGAAGAGATTGATCTTAATCTTGTTAACACATCGTACAATACAAAATGTAGTGAAGTGAAAAAAATTGTCATATTACAAGTAGATAACGCAAATAGACAATGACAGAGCATGTAATCATATTTGAAACCTTTATCATAATTTGAAAGGAATTTGAAAAGCATCGTATCTCTCTGTTATCTTATATGCTTTATTCAACAAAGCATTTTTCGTAGTTTTATACTATAGTAGGATGATAGAACAGTAGATAGTGGGATGATAGCAGATTAAGTGGGTATTGTAATTCAAACTCGATCACATGGATTTCAATTTTATGCGACAAATGTTGTGAAGGAGAAAGACAAAAAAAGTGAAAAAAAAAGAGAATCTCTCGAAGAGACGATCAATCTTGTCACGTGGCATCTCGCGAATGAAGTGCAATTAGTCATATTTTAGAGAGTGTATCCATCAGAAGCTGAAGCTTCTGAAAGCGCTAATTCATCAAGTGTCACACTCTCTTGTGAAAATCCGCTATATTTCAAGCCGGATAAAGGTATCAAATTCTTTTCGATAGTATATATCAAATGCGTCAATTTCTTATTCCAGATATCTACTTTTTTAAAACTAAATCTGTGGAAATGTCACTGATTAAACCAGTGACATAAGATTTCGCTGAAGATCAATGACTTTCAGTGAAAACATTCCCTTTTTTCTCCTCCGTCTTATGCTCCATTAATAATGATGGTAAGATTTCACTGAAAAATCAGTAATAATCGTAAACATTTGCAAGACGCAGTTTTTAAAACATTTTTTTATTTGTTTTGAATTGCTATTTTTTGGAAGATGCTTCCACACATATCTGGAATCAAATATGTTCCGAAGAGAGAGAAATATTGATTGCTATATCGATAATAAAATAATTTTCTCATTTCACGATGAGCCGTATATTTTGCGGACTAATACAACGTTCAAATGGTTCTTCGCAATGTACATGCGGATATACGGGATGTCTCGTTGGAATGTCTTTCATTATTTCCGTGTACTAAATTCGCTTCTAAAGTTACATCCACACTTCATGAAATAGCTTATATATAATGTGTACACCTACAGACGAATACAAGCGAAACACTATGAAGTTGCGATGCACTGACGGAAATGGAAACCGCTACAAAGGAATAAGCTGACTTAAATCGTTTTAACCGCTATAATAGAGTTTCATACAATAAAACTTTATACACTACTGTATATTTGCATATTGTATAAATGGGAAAAGAGTTGTCCTTTAATAAAAAAAAAAAGGAGTTTCTAAAATAAAATAACAATTTTAAATGCACTTTTCTCAATTGGTCGAATATTTCGGGAGAGAAAGACATGAATTATATATTTAATTGTTTTTCATTTTTAATAATTTATATTTAACTATATTTTAATATTTTATTAATTATATTTTATTAGCTTTAATAGAGATGTTAATTATATTAATTTTATTGATAATCAATCATATTTTTTATTTAGTTAAAAATTATACTTTATTATTTTAGTTATAATAATACTCTAATATTTTAGTTTTTATTATTATTCCATCAAAAATGCAATAAAATACATATTGAAAGAATGCGCTGCAGGATTTATCGTAATGACTTTTATCACTTCTCTTCATTTCGTTTTATTAATAGTACAGATTAGCGCTCAAACATGTCAAACATGATACGAGAATTTAGCCCAGATAAAGTGAACGCTCACCTGACTCGATCGTTGCGATAATTCAACGAACCGGTTGACCCCGGGACATTATTGCCGATAAGCCTCGCGCGATCATCCGTGTCCACCTGGGTGGCGATGTATCCCTCCTGCAGGTACTCGGACTCCGTCGGCGCGTAAACACGCCGATACCGGTGGGGATGAGGATGATGATGATGGTGATGATGGTGATGCAAGTGATGACGGTAACCGTCGTAAGGCGATCTCGCGGTAGCTTCGTAGGCGTAGGGCACCGCGTCCGTCACAAGGGTCATCATTTCACGGAGTTTCGTCGAGAGGAAGCGGAGTTGTCACTGCACCCGGTCGCTCAAAGCCAAAACGCACCGATCGTCCACGTGTTCGATCTCGCGCGACCTCATCACGCGCGAAATTGTCTTCGGCGGCGATTTAATTAAATTTCTCTCTCGGGTGACGTGTGTACATGCATACGTATAATCACCAGCATCATCAGATTCTCCATCAAACAATCGCTTATGTCCGTTAAATATCGATCAATATTCAGAAGATACGACCCTTCCAGATTATACAGCACCAATATAGATGAAGAGGTTATACAGCTGCAATATAGATGAAGAAATTGATCAAAGACGAAGTTGATCGAGGCCAAAGATATCCGCCGTAAAATCGCGACAGCGCTCTTTTCTCTATCCCATTTAGCTGTCGCCGCTTTTCGGGAAAAGATAATGAATCGCTGGTCTCAGCGAGGACACAGACGCGTTATATATTCGGTATAGTTAACTCCTTTTCCTTCAACTTTCTCGTTAACCTTGTCCGAGTCGCTTCCAGCCGGTTTCGTCCCGAGGCGCGGAATTTTCCGCTCCGATTCGCTAAAACCACTGGACAGATTCCTCCCTTGTCGCTCGTTATTTAAGTTTACTTAATTCACTTTATCGTTGCCCAGTTTTTCGTGAATCTTCGTATATCGGATGACTGCGTGTGCACCATCCGAGCAATGTCAATCATGAACCGCGAGATGAAAAATTCGTTTTTCCGACGTTTTTTGAATTGTGGGATTTTATGGAGCACGAAACGCTTCGCGTCAATCGACTCGATGATCGCGCATTTTTTCGCGGGTAACGCACTTTTGTTCCCAATAGAAATTGCGGGAACGATAAAAAAAAAAAGAAGATAAATCCCGCACTGAACTTGAAAGAGATTCCAAATCGGCGCTCCAGCAAAACTCGATAGCGTGGGAGGAAGAAGGTCGATCTTGAACCGGCGGCGCGACAGATTCCTTCCCTACGAATCCGGCGTGACTAACCGAGCCGGTCGTCGGACCAGACGCGACAGATCCGAAAATCTTGTAGCCGGAGATCACGGAGCGAAGATGTGCCTTCTCGTGTAGTATCGGTCCCTCCGCCACATGGCATCTCTTCTTAGGCGCGCACACGCTCGCATCTCGCCAACAGAGAGACGCGAGTAGGAATATTTTACATGCGTTTACACATGTGTGTGCCGTCGACAGTCACACCCCGAGATGACTATTTTTAAGAACATCCAGCCAATAGCAACCGACGAAAATCGTCTTCGGGTCCGCCTCCCGGACTGTCATAGATGCGTGAGTTTGGCAGGGACTCATCACGGGGTGTGGTTTAATCATTAATAAGAGTTAGAGTCTCGTCCGGCCGGACCGACTCGCCGACAAGCTTTTCGGGGGTTTAAATCAACGCCGGTCCAAAAGCATAATAACGAAGTGCTAATCGATTAAAGACTGTCATCGCGATGATTGGTTGAGATTTCTCTTTCTTCTGATCTTCTCCGAAGAAAGACAGACGATCACTTATCGTGCTAACTATCGTTTTTATCTAGTAATAAATCCGCGAAACTATTTTAGTAAAAAAATGTATATAATTTTTTCAAACTATTCTAAATATCATCGTTCGAGAATTTATAAAAAATCTTCCGGTCATAGATTTCTTCCATCACGTTGCGAGAAATTGTTAAAAGAACGTAATTAAATGAGGTTGCACCTTTCTTTAGGAGAGTCTTGAGAAAAAAGATTATCGGCGATAGAGTTCAATCGAAAAGGAATTTCTTTCGTTTAAGATTTCTTTTATATTTTCAATAAATTATCCTACATAAATTTTTCATCTAATCATTAGCTGCGAAGTTCGATTTGATTATTCTTTGATTAAACTTCGTCGATCGTATTTTATCCGATCATATGTTTCTGCGGCTCGCCGCAGCGGAAGGTCGGTTATTCGGGAATACTTAACTGAAATGTACTGGTTTACAGTCGAACACGCTAACAAAAAGAGACGTTCATTACGGTGGGTCGTGGTTTTTGACAGATATCCCAATACGCGTTCGATAGTCGATTCGATTTGCGGTCTGATTGGAGAGAGCAGAAGCAGCTATTACTCCTGTACACATATAGGATGTTTCACATATACATAGTTAAACTTTAGGATCATAGGATACTCCAAAACCATGTCCCTTTAAAGGCAGATTTTCCTCAATATATTGAAGAAAATCATTATTTGTTGCAAAGAGAATTTCCATTTTTTTTCCATCATATATCTTTATATAATCAAAATTAAAATTAAAATTAAAATTCTATTAAAGTAAACTCAACCAATAATTAATCGAAAAAGTTGTCTCCTCGGCTTCCCGGGATTCACTTCCTCCTCTATCGTTTAAGATTTAAAAATCACTGCCTCGGTATTCTCGATGAAAAAAAATCAATTCCAAATTAGTCGAGGGATCCGCCATCGAAGGGACCACGCAATGATTTTTGGAACGCCTTGTATATAGGGAGACACGCTTATATAGAGAGAGACACTGCTACTGGTTCTCGCCGCCGGTTACGCGGATACGTAAACTTTATGTAAATCCAGCGCCGTCTGTCACATTTTATGCTCCGCTTTCACGGGAATTAAAATAGACTATTGAGCGTCGAATAAAAGCTAAAATTACCCCCTGGCAGCGATCCAGACGTATGGAGATAGAAAACGGGGTAAAGTTTTAGCCTACCGACACGTTTTCGCCGAAATACCGATCGCCGTATAGTAATAATCTGATGCTCTCGCGCTCTACGAGATTACGCGGAAATAGCGGTGGCGTTCTCCGTTAAGGGAGGATCATCTCCGTTCTCTCTCGCGGCGGAGCAACGCGATCGAACGTCTAATCACGGGAGCCACAAATGCTCCTTTACGTTGAGAATCCCGCACACTATCACAATTATGGCAATTACAGCAAAAGAAGCAGTTAAACGCTAATTATTATTCCAAAAATTCGAAATTTGTATATCAAATCTAAAATCAAAAAAGAGATAAGAAAATCTGCGATAACGATATATTATATGTATATATATTTTTTTGGATTATACGATTATCGCTGTAGCTATTCGTTTCCGAATCTTTCTGTTATTCTAGAATTGACGTTAAATGAAACAATCTCGTTCTTGTAGCAAAGTAACGATCGAATCATGAAGCTTTACCTATCCAAACACGCTTGTTCGGAATCATCCAACAATTGATGTATTATGTTAGAAATCCAATGATTAATATATTATATTGAAAGTGACTATCGATCAACACACTATTGAAAGTTCCAGTCCATTTCTCCTCACGATTGCCCTATATACTGTATATAATGTTTCATTTTCTATCTGCATACATATAGCTTTATTTCGAAAGTTTCCTCCACTTCAATTGCTCATGTTGAATCAGTGTGTGTCAATCAATTCACGATTATAAAATTCCGTTGAATGATGCTAAGCAAGGGATTAAATCGTGTACGGAAAAGTTCGCGGTATATATTTTCCGTGAAAACTCTCGCGTTTAAAAACTATACAAAGGCACGTCAAAGTGCACACCAATATATAATGGAGATCGCGTCTCTCGTAAAGAAAACTAACACAGCCCGACACACGAGATAGCCTGCACACATTCGCGCGCGCGCGCGACACTTCTATTAAAATCCCATCCGCAGTCCCGGTACCTGTCAGAAGAGACAAGGCCAATTATCGTTAAAAGCGGTTATTATCGGACGACGTTAGAGAAATCCGCGAGATGAGAGAGCGCCGGTTCCAACCCTCTCTCTTCCCTTCCGTTCTCTTCATTCCCCATCTCCCTCCCCCGTTCCCTTCATCCATCTCTCCGTCCTACGTTTCGAACGACATCGTATACATACATCTCGGATATAAAGAAGCGCCCTTCGCGCGATCTCTCCACCCCCTTCCTTCCGCAAACAACCGCGTGAAAAGTCCGGAGGCTCCGGACTTCATTTTTCATTCGCCGTCCAGTGGTACAAACCCCGAAGACCTACATGAGAGAGCTCGCGCATTCCCGCAGATTATACACACACACACACACACACACACACACACAGACACACACACATATATTTAGCTACATATACGCAGTCGCTGACACGCGAGCGAATGCGCGCGCATTCGCAAACACGAAGGGTAGTTCTCCCTTTCGCACCCTTTCATCGTGGAAGCTCGGCGCGGCTCGGATGTGCTCGTCTCGCGTCGGGGTCGAGAGGAGGAGGAGGAGGAGAAGCAGGGGGAGGGAAAGCGGGAGGATCGCGAGATTGCAAAGAGTACAACCCTGAGGAGCGAGACGCAAAACAGGTCACTCTCGCCTCCTTTCAGGATTCGGCGGCTGGCTGGGATACCTACATCTGCCAAAGTTCACGGGAGGGCAATGCCTCGCCCACTTTTACGGGGGCATCATCGCGAAGCGATGTCTTTGTCCGCCTTTTTGCTCGCGCGGATTTTTGTTTTTCGAACCAATTTTCCAGCATCTTTAAAAGCTCGCGAAAGCGTAGTAAAGGTAAGTGAAAAATGTCAGTAAATTTTTATTGGCGAGTGAAAAGTTAGTAGAAGAAGGACGAAGATTTAAAAGCGTCGGAATTTTTTTCACTCGCAATAAGCGAATAAATATTTTTTTATGTTACTCGTAATCAAAACCCGATTATATACGTATTTAAATTTAGAGATATAAAAGCCTTCAAGATACTTTTTAAATATTTTCAAAATTCTCCCGTCAATTACATTTTTGTTCAATATATCTGAGAAATATCATTCTATTATTTTCTAATTAATATAAAATTCCGAGCTTTTTTTTTTGTATTCGAAATTAGAGGCCCCAGGAAAACCTGGAGAAAAATATGCATATAGTAAAAATATATGAGGGATGAAGGGAGGGCTGTTAACAGGGCGCCTCGCGTTGGCAAGGAGACGTCCTTTCGCGCCGCCGCGAAGCGTAGTTTCCTATGTAATCCGATGTGACTTGGAGCCGTCTTGAATTCTCTTCGACGTGTATCGCGGCCGGAGACTAGATGCTTCGGATGATTCCGAGCGTTGGCCAAAGCCTCGAGGACGTTGCGGCGCGACGTCGTACAAACCTCTCCCCAAGCTCTTTCCCCTCCTCTCTCCTCCCCACCCTTCCCTCCATCGAGATAATCTCGTTGTAATCACGCAAGCGCCCGCTTCCCGTCGATCAGGATAACTGGCGACGTTGACTCGACTCTCATTGAATAGTTGTTCTTATACAGGATAATGCCTTTAACGGGAATGACGAGAAAACTCGTAAGGCGATCGAAATAAAAGGGTGAGAGAGGGAAGCTCTGCGTTACCGAAATCGACAAATAGGAAATTTATTTTCGATAGAAATTGAACTATTTTCCGCAAATTAATTTTCGTACACATATGTACACGCGAGTTGTAGATTAGAATATTATAATATTTTTTATATCAGAATTTCATATAATCTGATATATCTCAAGGTAATTTTGCTCTCACATTTTATTTCCACGCTAGGAAATACGCCACGTCCCTCAAGTTGTGTGATTAAACGTATTCCAGGGTTATGAGTTAATCTTATTTGCATTTCTCAAGGTTTCTCATATTTATGGAGATGAAATTACTTATTGTTAGTGTTATATGATTAAATGTATTCGTAGCGGTAAAGATGACTCTAAATAGAATTCTCTACAATTAATCTTGTCGTGATTATGCAAAATCTCTAATCGGATTTCAACATTGACTCGAGACAAGTCGTATGCATGTCTTCATAAATTTGTATCGTACAAAATTTTCTTTATACGTGGAAAATTTATTGTGTGTATCGCAATATAATACACGATGGCTTTTTCAATTATTCTTGGGCAAAGTAAATTGCAAAATTTCACCATCCATCAAGATTACGAGATACAATATGGAAATAATATAATTTCGTATTATAAAAATTCTTCGGAGCATTATCGTTATTAAATATATATAAAAAGACTCTTGGTGTAGAATTTTATAAATAATCCATGTTTAAAAGATTTCCGGTTTATTCTTAAAAAATATTCTTAATTTCTACATTTGCATAAAATTTGTGTAGCATGAGAACATTAGAATATATAACGTATCGCGCGATAAGGCTCTCCGATGCTCGCTT